TAAATGTTTTGTCAAGACTTCATCGTAAATGTTTTGTCATGATTTCATCGTACATGTTTTGTCAAAACTTCATCGTATATGTTTTGTCATGATTTCATCGTATATGTTTTTGTCAAGACTTCTTCGTAAATGTTTTGTCAAGACTTCTTCGTAAATGTTTTGTCAAGACTTCTTCGTAAATGTTTTGTCAAAACTTCATCGTATATGTTTTGTCAAGACTTCTTCGTATATGTTTTTGTCATGATTTCATCGTAAATGTTTTGTCATATCTAAACTCATAGTCATGTATGTCCTCTAACCATCTCATAACGGTTTCCAAACCACTTTTATCGGATGTAAAGTAAAAGCATGGATGGTTATGTAAAACGTCTAAAGTTTCTAAAGAGTCTCTCAAAGTATACTTCCTTGGAACGCCCGTAACTTTTCCTGTAGCGACGATAGACCCTTACTTGTCCGGACAAAGTTATACTATTTTGAGTGCTCTACCAAAAAGTCAACAGCAACGACTTTCAAAAATTTTTATGGGCTAGAAGGGGCGCAGCCCCTGGGAAGCCCCCTATACCCAAAAAAACTTCATTTTATACTTCATTTATACTAAACATCTTCAGGGCTAGAGGGCACGAAGTGCCTGGAGGCCCCACTACCTTTTTTTTTATCGCCCTAAATATTGATAAATACATTAAAATGATATAAGGAAGTGATGTGGTCTATGATAAAAAAACCACTAAATTTTCGACACAAATTTTTATGGGGTTGTATTATTGTCGTCTGGCGGTTTTAGACGACAATGCGAATCTCAGGATTGGTGTGCTTTTTAACTAAATTATTTATATGGTTTAAATAAGCAATATTTATATAAATATTTCATATAGTTATTAAGGATATATAACATATTTTTACAAATAATATATTATGAATATCTTCAAAACATATTTTTAACCTATAAAATCATGCGGACATATTGTAAATAAGCTATATATTCAAATACAATTCTTCACATAGCAAGAAATAGCTTTATTATTCTGAAATAAATATCGCATTTTATCAATTTGTTGTTCTTTATGATTTGATCTTCTCATGCATTAATATAGCATATGACCTATATGTTCTTTATAGAATTATAGGTAAAATTTGGTATATGCACCCTTTAAAATGTGTATTTATAGCACAAATTCAATTATTTTTCATGATATCAATAGTTGCGTTTTCCTAACCAATAATTCTTATTTATTTATGTTTAAACTAATTGGCAATATAAATGGAAATATGTTATATAATATTATCTTAGTTAAATAGATTTTAATATAATATTACCTTAGAAAATGATATATAACTTTGCTCATGAACATCATTTTTGTATACCATTAATTGAGTTATTCCAACGCATAAGGCAAGAATCAATTAATTTTAATTAGCTAAATAATTAATAATAGTGATTCTATGAATGGTAAAAATGGTTGTGTCGCGTATTTTGGTGGTAAATATTCATAATAATAATTTAATTTATTTATTTTAAAATTTTATTAATTCTAATCTCTATATTGCTCTAAATATCAATAATAGCTTATTAAAGGCATTATAATATACAAATGCAAACACAATTAAACAATATCTCGTAATTCCCCTTTTTAAGATATGTATCTAAGTTTCTATCGTTGTTTCTTGAATATATATATATCAAAGATATGAATAGCGCTGGTTTTGTGATTGCATAAACAACTTATATATCAATATACTCAGTATAAGTGCATATATACATGGTATAATTTGGTTGTCCACCGAATGTATGCTCATATGGTGGATTACTTGCACTTTTTTTCTTTGATGCAAATGTGTCAGATACAATTCCTGATTTGCTCATACAGGTGCAGGGTCCTAGTGATAGACCCTGCAAATACATGAGCAAATCAGGAAAAACTTGCACTTTTTTCTTTGATGCAAATGTGTCAGATACAATTCCTGATTTGCTTATATAGGTGCAGGGTCCTAGTGATAGACCCTGCAAATACATGAGCAAATCAGGGAAAACTTGCAATTGATCTGAAGAATGTGAATCAAGCCTTATATTTCAGAAAATGATTTTATATTTGCAAGGAATGAGCATCATCCTATGCAAAGGTAAACTCATTTTAGAAAAATTTCTTTTTTTTGGAAATGATTATTCTCAAATTCTACCTAAAACTCTCAATTAATAATCATATTCTCATTTAAACCTAGGGCTGTACAAAATCGAGAAAAACATTGCCGTGCGGTAATATAGGGTCAAAACTATTGATGTGGCGGTAAAATCACGGTAATTCACGGAAAGCTATATGCGAAAATTTGAAATTATACAAAATCGAGCGAAACACTTTTAAATAGGTTGTTCTCGTATTTAAAATACTATTCCCAGATTTATTGTCGTCAGAATATTTCCAAATTTTTGCCGATTTACAAAAAATGATTTACAAAGCATATTTTTTAATCTAAAAAATTCCTAAAAAAAGGAACCGGTGTGCGGAAACCTCGGTAAATTACCGCGGTTCCCGTTGGGACTGCCATATTTAAACCATATATAACATTACTTTATAAATCTAGATTTTTCCAAATTCTTAATTTTCATATGAAATTTATAATTTTTTATTTTAAATTCAGAATTTTGAATTTTTTTTGGAAATTTTTATTTAATTTTATGTTTATTTTATTATATTCTTTATATATGACAATTTTTTCAAGTTTATTTTTTCAATATATACGATAATTATTAATTCAATTTTTAAACAAATGTTTTGATGGGACGAGCTTAAAGATCATAGGCTCATCCCATCAAAACATTCACTTAAAAACTCTGGCCTTCATCGAGGCCAGAGTTCACAATTCATATCCTCGAAGCCATGCTCCTCGACGGTCGTCCTCATTAGGCACGATCCGAGAGGAACTTGGCTCTGAATGAAACTCACAAGCTCTGGCTTCAGGAAAGGCCAGAGCTTCGCAAAGCATCCTCGGGGCCGGTTTCCTCAAAGGCCGCCCTGATTCGGGCGGTCGGAGAGGATTCCAGTCCCGAGAGAACGTCCCTACGAAGCTCTGGCCTTATCAGAGGCAAGAGCCTGCAAAATCAATCCTCAGGGCCGAGTTTTTCCATCTTCGTCATCATGGTAGATGATCTCGTGAGAACTCGGCCCTGAAAGACTTCATATTACAGGTCCTGGCCTCATGAGAGACCAGAACTTCGCAAATAATGCTCAGAGCCGGCTTTCTCAAATGCCGCCATGATCTATGGCGGCAGGTGAGGAATCTGGCCCTAAAAACATATTATTACGAAGCTCTGGCCACAATAGAGGTCAGAGCCTGCAAGATCAATCCTCAGGATCGAGGTTGAGGGAGATCGTCCGCATCATTGACGATCTCCTATCATCTCGATCCTGAAAGACTTAAAAATGCAGGATCTGACCTCTACAGATGCTACAACCTCGCTTACAGTTCTCAGAGCCAGCTTTCTCAAATGCTGCCATGATCTATGGCGGCAGGAGAGGAATCTGGCCCTGAGAACGGACTATTACGAAGTTTTGGCCACAGTAGGGACCAGTTCCTGAAAAAATACTCCCTTAACAATAAATTAAGATTTATTTTATCCAAGAAAGCCTTGAAGGAAGTCCAAACCATGAGAATGGGCTTCCTTCCAGGCTTACTGGTACTACTGGAGCGATTTTTGCTTCCATTGCAGCTCCTGAAATATATACTATAAATTATATTAAAAACATTGAGAATTTTGATTTCTATTTCATATGTCCAGCCTATAAAAGCATAGTAATGAATATTCCTGGCTCAAATCAGTTGAAAATGCAATTTTGTGCTGAGATTTCCAAAATTGGTTATAAAACTAGACTATTTTAATGAAGAAAACCAATAATAGGATCTCAAGTAGTAATATTCATTATGTGTTGTATAAAATAATTAATTCAAATATATAAATTAAAAATGAAACTATTTATATTCATTTTATTAAATTATCTATTGTTCACAGTAAAATCTAACTATTTCACATTTCAATAACCTGATACTATTGCTCAAACTTTAATAATTGCAATAATAAAGTTTTGGAATATATTCTCTATATTCATTCTGTGAGATACACAAATAAACACATTAGAAGTAGTATAGAAACATATATTACAATTATAACACAATGTCAAACACATCTCTTACCATTTAATAAAATTAGATAAAGAATCTCCAAAAATTAAAATATGTGTTTTTGCACTTATTTCTATATTTTATGCATTACTATAGGTATTCCGATATAAACCAATGAATTTTATCTGTTATATGTCAAAAACAACTTTAATCTAATGTGATCAAGTTGCATGATATACAACCATACATCCACTGCATATCCACATGATTCTATATATAATAGAGATGTTCCTATCTAAATTAAAATGTTAGAAATGAATTGTACGAATTTTAAAACAAAAATTATTATTGTCGTCTGACGACAATAATAATTTTGTCACTTTTCTAGACGACAATAAAACATCCTCAATTTTTATACTGTCAGAAATTGCTCTCTATTCAAATTTTCAAATAATATAAAATATTCAATCTGAATAAAAATCGCCAACCAAATGAATATATTAATATGTTCATCACAAATTTAGATAATTTTTTGAAAAAATCGAATAAATGCAAAAGCTCATTACAATTGAATACTTTTGAGAATAATTCACATGTGAATTTATACGCTCAACATAATCTCTTTTTAAATGATTATAAAAAGTGGTTGTATTGAATTTAGGTAAATTAACATTTTTTGAAAACTGAAACACCAATCTTCAATCCACCAAAATTTTGATTCAAGGAATTATTACATGTAATAAGTTTGTATTGAAATTTTATATGTAAAAAATTCCATTTATCTAATAAGACCAATATTTTCTAGCAAATATATAACTTCTAGACTGATTTAATTTTCGGTTTTTTTTCTCAAATAATTGATAGATTATATAAAAACCATTTTTTTAATGTTTCGCAAAGCACTTGCTTTAGGAAGAATTCCATCTGAAAGAGTTGAAGTATTCCCAAATTGTCAGAGAATTGGACTTGGGAACTTTTTCGATTTGGAACCTTCGAAAGAATATTGTCTTGACTTTGGCTATTTCATTGCAAGCAACAAAACAAACTATGAAGTCACTGCAAAATATATTTCGAAAGAAAATTCAGAAATAAATGAACCTGTAATAGTAAAAAATCCTTTTGTGGTCTCATACGACTCATCTAATTATGACATACAATCGAAAGTTAAATGTTTAGAAATTTCTGGGGGTTGCAAAATACAAATTTTTAAAGTTCACCCTTCAATTAATTCGTCAGAATCGTGGGAAGAAGATGGAATTATCAAAAATATAAATCAAATCGTATATTCATATTTTTCAACAAAATCCTCAGATTCATTATCATTTGAAGTTAAACAAATATATGGAAGCTCAGAAGTAAATAATAAAAAAGAATTAAATTGTTTTATCCAAACAGTTATTTATCAAAATGCTGACAATTCTATTAAAGAAATTACTCGTGCATCTACAAATGAAAACATCAAAGCTATCATTTCGGAGGATGATTTATCAAATGTTAAAACTTTTACTGTTTCAGTCGAATTTCCAGACATTGATTTTGAAAAATCTGCAAAAGATGAAGGAACTATTACTTTAAATTTAAATAAAAAAACAGATCCGCCAGAAGAAGAAGAAATGCTTTTTGAAAAAGATAAGCAATATATTGTATATGGTGAAAATAAAATAAAATCTCGAAGCGAAATTGAAGTAGAAACAAATACTACAAGCAAAGAGATAAGCGATCCTAATAATCCAAACGGATCTCGTAACAACAATCCAACGATAACTCAGAAACCATCCAAATTAACTGGTTGGCAGATCGGACTAATAATTGTTGGTGTCATAGCTGTTATCGCCATTATTATTGTTGTTGCAGTTATCTTTATTAAGAAAGGAAAGAATGGTTCAAAATCTGGTTCCGGATCAGGTGAAAACGTATGATTAGGTATTAATTGCAAATCTAAAAATATTCAATTTTACTGCATTTCTTATTTTTCATAGGAGATAACTTTTTTTTAAATGGCATGAAAAAAGGAACATTAAGTATGAATTATAAATTTAAGGGACTTTTCCCGAAACTTAGGGCAAATTGCACTACCTGCTCATATTTAGTATAGAAGTATTTATGAGGCAGTTTATTAAGTTTATTGTCGTTGTCTAACTTAAATTCATAACTAGATTCTTTCCAATATTGAATGTAAATTCTTGTGTACATAAAATATATCTTTCATAACAGACTTCGAAAATACTGGTTGGCATCAAAATATAAACTTTAACTTTCAGAAAGTGTTATAATTATCAAAATTGTAGCCTTAGGAAGATATGAAACTATATAAAACTAATTTTACTCATTCCTTTGCAATTAATATTATATTTCAACAAAAAGTGACATTAAAAAAGGAGGATAATGATCCTATCAATTTGAGCATATGGAGAATTAAATCTCTTGAACTGTGCTTGTATTTGATATAAATGAATCATTATCATAAGAGTAACATATAAATATAGTTATAGATGAAACTTAGGATAATTAATTTTTATTTTCTTGAAATAAACTTAATGAAACTTAAACATTTTTCCAGTTATCTTAAGTGGAGATCTTTGCATGATGTTTGATGTTCCAAACTCTTAATCGAAAAAGTTAATTTTCAAAAATTTTCTTCATACTTATGTGAAGTTATATTATGCAGATAATATAACATAGAAATTTGGATATTTTTCAAAATTTGAATTACATGCCTAAAATGGTTCTAAGAACTTTTCTATACAGTTTTTCTCAAATAAATCCACTTTTCTATACACTTAATTTTGAATAACGATTCAAATTCTGATAGATAATTGTTAATATTTAGCTTTGAATATATTTTCACAAAATGCGAATGTTCGAGTTTGAAATATTTAAATCTTTCAATAAGAGTTTTAAATATTCAATAGTGGTTTTTGCTGAATGTAGAAATTTAGTATCAATTAACATGTCAAAAATTATTAAATATATTGATGGTTATGCATATCATAATTGCATTAGTTTGACGGAAATTCCTGAATTTGAAAATATAGAGTATATAGCTTCAAATGCATTCGATAATTGTCAAAGTTTGAGATTGGTAAACTTAACAAATTACAAAGGAAATATATCTTTCTATTGTTTTGCAAGATGTAGCAGTCTGCAAGAAATAATTTTCCCTAAAGAGTTAAGGATGATTGAACCATTTACATTCAATGGATGCAAAAGCCTATTAAAAATTGATTTACCAATAAGTATCAATGATATTCATGCGAATGCTTTTTCAGGATGATATTTCAATAAAAATCTTTCAAATATATATAATTTTGCGTTTAATAACTGTAGAAGCTTGTCTAAGTTAGATTTACCTGAATCGATCAATATGATATATGATAATTCATTTAGTAATTGCATAAATCTAACAAGTGTTAATATTTCATGCCTAATTTCTGCTGTAAAGTTAGAAACTTTTTATAATTGTATAAGTTTGATAAGAATACAATTACCAGATTCAATAGTAACAATTGAAAAACGCGCATTTTTGGGATGCATAAGTCTCTCAGAAATTAAAATTCCATCATCATGTACAAAGATTGTAATATCAGAAGATATAATTTGTAGAAATTGTCCTGAAGGAAAAATCGAGATGAATGGGAATTGCAAAATTAAGGTTTCAAAAATACAATCAAATCTAAGAGATCCATACGATAATAGTATTTTGTAGAAAGATATGTTCATACTAATTCAGTTCATATAAAACACGAATTCATAAGAATTAAAGATTTTATTTTATTTTGTTATTCATAAAGATTTATCATGCATACTATATGGATTTATCTTAAGTTTTATACTAAATGATGCATTAACGATTTTATATATATTTATGTCATGAACGAAATTGTGAATTGATAACTAAATGAACAAATATTTTGGAATGAACAATACATTATGCTACTTTCCTTGCATTATATACAAATATAGATAGAATATCAAGAAATCATAATGAATTGAATTCGGCTTGAAGAAAATCTTCTTTGTATTAACGATTCTTATGAATTAATCAACAAAAATATGGATCATATATGATAAATTTGATGGTATGATACAATTGTTTGTTCAAACAAATAATCAGAAAAAGAAAAAAAAAAAAAAAAAAGGAAGTGGGGCTTCCAGGGCTGCGCCCCTTCTAGCCCTGAAGATGTTTAGTATAAATGAAGTTCTTATATACGGGTCTTCCAGGAGCTTTTCACAAATTATATATGTTTTCATGTTTTGTCACTTTTCTGTCACTTTTCAGGAAAAAACATTTTTATTATTATATATAAATGAATTTTACAAAACCACCGTTACCGTTCTTTGGAAATAAGGGTAAATGTAAAGATATTATATTGAGAGAACTTAAGAAACTACCGAATGGTCTAACATTTGTAGATTTGTTCGGTGGAAGTTTCTATATATCCCATTTGTGCCATACAATATTCCCAGACTCAAAGATTATATGCAATGACTTCGACAACTATATGGACCGTCTCAAACATATACCAGACACAAACAATATATTGAAAGAGTTAAAAGAAAAGATACCTATAGGTAAGATGGAACGTATACCATTAGATAACAAAAATATTGTGAGAGAGGTTTTGAAAAAAGCAGAATATATAGACTGGGATAGTATATCTGCTAGACTATTATATAGTGGTTCTATAAGAGTTCATGACATTGAAACACTTATGTCAAAAGTTTTATATCTTAACTATACAAATGTTTTCAAAGAGGACATAGAAAAATATATTGAGGGTATAGAGTTTGTGAGATGTCATTGGACAGAGTTGTATGAAAAATATAAAGACAAGGAAAATGTTTTCTTTATAGTGGACCCGCCGTTCTATAACACATGGGATTTTCAATACCAAGTAGACTGGACTTTGAGAGACTCTTTAGAAACTTTAGACGTTTTACATAACTGTCCATGCTTTTACTTTACATCCGATAAAAGTGGTTTGGAAACCGTTATGAAATGGTTAGAGGACATACATGACTATGAGTTTAGATATGACAAGATAGAATATGAGAGAGGTCCTTAAACCGGAGAAAGTGTCATAACAAAGAAATTTTACTAGTAAGTAAATGTGGTTTGAAATAGGACTACTTGTTTAGGTTTTTTCCATTGTGTCATTTATTTATTTGACGTGGCAGAAAAGTACAGAGAATATGAAGATGAACCAATGCCTGCAAATGTTCAGTATATGTACTCGTAAGAGATATTTTTATCTAATATTAAATGGACGCACAGAACTTAGCAATGCATGACAGCAACCTGGACAACCAAACCCAGAGAATATTCCAAATGAAGTTAGAATACAACTGCAATGGCAAACTATGGTCAAGTGCCACAGATGTACAAATGCAAACTGCCATGTCAAATGACGCTGCGTTAGGTTTGCCACATGGTATGCAAATATGAGATGGAAAGAGTTTTATACAAACCCCGAAGTGGGATATAAACAACTTTATGCAGATGACGCGAAACACAGGAGTTGACCCAGAATATGTTTTCTACCAGAGGAGAAACAGAATGTATGAGCTCCAGTTAAAGAATGCTATGGAACTCAACAGGAAACGTAAGAGACTAGGCGGACATTAGATTTTTACATATAGTAAAATGGGTTTCTTCAGTAGTATTGGAAACTTCTTCAGAAGAGTTGGAAGAGGTATATGGAATGGAATAAAAACCGTAGGAAGAGGAATTTGGAACGAGTCAAAATATTGGTAAAAGAAGTAGGTCAGTTTGTTGGTATTATACCTAAAGACCCTGAACCAGAAAACAAGCTCCTGTTATACAACAACCTGAACCCTGCCACACAGTCTAGTTGGCAACCAAATCCAACACTCAACCGTATTAAAAAATTATATTTTTACCGTTCGATAGTAGTTGTATATGAAACTAAGTTCTAAGTAAAACGCATGGTATATGGAATTATTCTCTTTCTTCATCTGTAGTAAACCATACTTGAAAGTCTGAAATACTTCCACTTGGTGGTTCATATAGCTTTGTAGGTTTTTCGTAAAAGTCATTTGCCAAGCATAAAAAAGAGTTTTGGGCGCCAGAAAATGAAGCATGAACAATAATAGCAGCTGGGTCGAAAACATTTTCATATGTTCCATTAGGGTTTTCGACTTCATAAAAGTCTGGGTGTACTGGATATGCTGCAGGCTGATTTAACATCCTCATAAATCTATACCATGCCAAGTTGTTATATTTTTGTAGAAATATAAACGTTTTCTCCAAGGTCTTCTATTCTATTGATTTTAACAGTTGCATTTTTCCTGTCATAAATAATATCGAGATGGTATTCTCCTTCGTCAATGTTATACTGTTTGCATATTCGATATAGATATCGTTTATTTTTTCTTGAAAAGCTTGAAGAGTTGTTTCTAAGTTTACAGCAAACTAATTGTAAAAGTTTTCCCGTTTCAAATTCTCATACATACGTTTTTTTGTTATAGTATCGAACTTCAAAACCGACTGTAAATGGGAAACCATGTATGGCTTCTGAATGAACTTCATTCTACGAAAGCCAATAGCTTTTGTGACGGATGGGTCTCTTAACCATCTTAACGGGTAGTCAAAACGATAGCCTTCATGCTTTACGGTCTCTGTCTCAAACTTTTGACCGACATTCGTAAAAAGTTCATCTAATGGTTTAGTTGTAGCAACTCTTGAATTTTCTTTTTCTATTGAAAGCATATTTTATCTAGAATAAAATGTCAAATGAAACAGCGTCTATGAGAGAATACAACACAACCGACAACTCATTATACAAGCTTAAATAAGAACAACAAACTTTTCAAACTATTCTAAGATATCTGAGTCATTGAAAGAAGGAAACTTAAAACTGACATTAAACCCAATGACAGATGAGTTTCTGTTTCAAGA